GCCATAGTAACATGCAGTAAGGAGAGATCGCCATAGTAACATGCAGTAAGGGGAGATCCCCATAGTAACATGCAGTAAGGGGAGATCGCCATAGTAACATGCAGTAAGGGGAGATCGCCATAGTAACATGCAGTAAGGGGAGATCGCCATAGTAACATGCAGTAAGGGGAGATCCCCATAGTAACATGCAGTAAGGGGAGATCGCCATAGTAACATGCAGTAAGGAGGGATCGCCATAGTAACATGCAGTAAGGGGAGATCCCCATAGTAACATGCAGTAAGGTGATATCGCCATAGTAACATGCAGTAAGGAGAGATCGCCATAGTAACATGCAGTAAGGGGAGATCGCCATAGTAACATGCAGTAAGGGGAGATCCCCATAGTAACATGCAGTAAGGTGATATCGCCATAGTAACATGCAGTAAGGAGAGATCGCCATAGTAACATGCAGTAAGGGGAGATCGCCATAGTAACATGCAGTAAGGGGAGATCCCCATAGTAACATGCAGGAAGGGGAGATCGCCATAGTAACATGCAGTAAGGGGAGATCGCCATAGTAACATGCAGTAAGGGGAGATCGCCATAGTAACATGCAGTAAGGGGAGATCGCCATAGTAACATGCAGTAAGGGGAGATCGCCATAGTAACATGCAGTAAGGGGTGATCGCCATAGTAACATGCAGTAAGGGGAGATCCCCATAGTAACATGCAGTAAGGGGTGATCCCCATAGTAACATGCAGTAAGGGGAGATCGCCTTAGTAACATGCAGTAAGGGGAGATCGCCATAGTAACATGCAGTAAGGGGAGATCGCCATAGTAACATGCAGTAAGGGGAGATCGCCATAGTAACATGCAGTAAGGGGTGATCGCCATAGTAACATGCAGTAAGGGGAGATCCCCATAGTAACATGCAGTAAGGGGAGATCGCCATAGTAACATGCAGTAAGGGGAGATCGCCATAGTAACATGCAGTAAGGGGTGATCGCCATAGTAACATGCAGTAAGGGGAGATCCCCATAGTAACATGCAGTAAGGGGTGATCGCCATAGTAACATGCAGTAAGGGGAGATCCCCATAGTAACATGCAGTAAGGGGAGATCCCCATAGTAACATGCAGGAAGGGGAGATCCCCATAGTAACATGCAGGAAGGGGAGATCGCCATAGTAACTGAGAAAACATGCAAAAGAACATGGTGAATTAAGAGAATTATAGAGAATTAAGTGAACACTTCTGTGCTTTAACCAGTGTGACATCAGGGGATTCGTATCCCTATGGGCTCTGGTGATAAGTAGTGCACTATAAAGAGCATTTGGGATGCAGCCATCATGGAGGATAGTTTGGGGAGTCATGCACATGATCCAGTTCCCAGTGTCCCTTTCATTCATTATCCAATTACACAATACATGATTTACTGAAAGAGAGAGCTGGTGTGTGTGAACGGTGAAGCCCCCTAGCAATGGTGAAGCTCTCTGTGTTGTGTCTGGGATAGAGAGTATCTCTGTGTTGTGTCTGGGATAGAGAGTATCTCTGTGTTGTGTCTGGGATAGAGAGTATCTCTGTGTTGTGTCTGGGATAGAGAGTATCTCTGTGTTGCGTCTGGGATAGAGAGTATCTCTGTGTTGTGTCTGGGATAGAGAGTATATCTGTGTTGTGTCTGGGATAGAGAGTATCTTAGTGTTGTGTCTGGGATAGAGAGTATCTCTGTGTTGTGTCTGGGATAGAGAGTATATCTGTGTTGCGTCTGGGATAGAGAGTATATCTGTGTTGTGTCTGGGATAGAGAGTATCTTAGTGTTGTGTCTGGGATAGAGAGTATCTCTGTGTTGTGTCTGGGATAGAGAGTATCTCTGTGTTGTGTCTGGGATAGAGAGTATCTCTGTGTTGTGTCTGGGATAGAGAGTATCTCTGTGTTGTGTCTGGGATAGAGAGTATCTCTGTGTTGCGTCTGGGATAGAGAGTATCTCTGTGTTGTGTCTGGGATAGAGAGTATATCTGTGTTGTGTCTGGGATAGAGAGTATCTCTGTGTTGTGTCTGGGATAGAGAGTATGTCTGTGTTGTGTCTGGGATAGAGAGTATCTCTGTGTTGCGTCTGGGATAGAGAGTATCAGTAGACAGAGGGATAACAGTGTGACATGCAGGATTCAGAACAAGCGTCCCAGACAAAAACACCTCGACAGATGCACACAGGCTGGAAACTATCTAGTCAACGGGCATAGGGCTCCTTCCCCTGATGATCCAGGCTCTGTCTCAAATGTCACCCTATTCCCTATCTAGTGCACTACTTTAGACCACGACCCATAGGGAACAGTGCACTACTTTAGACCACGACCCAAAGGGAACAGTGCACTACTTTAGACCACGACCCAAAGGGAACAGTGCACTACTTTAGACCACGACCCATAGGGAATAGTGCACTACTTTAGACCACGACCCAAAGGGTGCAGGTATCCAGACAAGGCTAAACTATAGTGCCCTAATGTTGATTCACCTCACTGACTGCACTAAACAGACCTCTATTCTAGACTATAGGAACCACGATACAAATAAGTCTGTTTGTCCATGGCCAGATGATCCTCTAGAGAGAGAGGATTAGAGAAAGAGGGTCATGGGCGTAGAATAAATTCATCCCTTCTAACCGCTACGATGCCTCACATACTGCCTGATCCTATTAACACATCTACATTACTGTCTGCTAGATCCCATTAACGCAACGTGACTGACTGACACAAACATCAGGAACTACATTTTAATCCGTCTGCTAGATCATTTTGTGTGAGGACGATAATAATGCTACTGACTGATTTCTATATAAACACAGTAGCAAAAAAAAAGGAGATTTAAAAACGTTTCAAGAACATTTAATGTGGTCTGTATTACAAGCCTTTAACTCTATAAGGACTGACAGCTAATGTGTTTATGGAACGTTAGAGTACAGTGTTGGAACGTTATAGTACAGTGTTGGAACGTTATAGTACAGTGTTGGAACGTTATAGTACAGCGTTGGAACGTTATAGTACAGCGTTGGAACGTTATTTAAGAAATCTGTTTCCAGCCTGTGATCTGATAGGTTAGCGGTGGGAGTGAGGTGGAATACAGAGGGGAAAAAATGCCCTCTTTTCCCAGAACCACCTTGGGGTTTGTAGTGGGCGGTCTTTCCCCCTGGTAGGCGGAGTTTGGACTGTGATTTGCTAAGTAAGGGCGAAGAGGAGGTCCTTTTCTGTAACACTGAGAGGAGCAATGACAAAATCACCACACCTCATATCATATACCTTAAAACCAAAACTACAGCACACAGCCGACTTTAGCTCATCAAATATTAAATAATAATAATAATATGCCATTTAGCAGACGCTTTTATCCAAAGCGACTTACAGTCATGTGTGCATACATTTTTTATGTATGGGTGGTCCCGGGGATCGAACCCACTACCCTGGCGTTACAAGCGCCATGCTCTACCAATTGAGCTACAGAGGACCAAATATGATCATGCCACAACATGGCAGGAAGCCTCAATGTAAACACCATACTGTGAACAATGCTGGATTTAGTAAGAATATGGCACATTTACACGACAATTGTTACCACGATGCTAGCCAATGTAAACTTTACTCTACAAACCAAACAACAATGAGAACTTAATGATGAGACAGACTGTAGAGAGAGAGAGAGAGAGAGAGAGAGAGAGAGAACAGCAATAGAATACCTTTTCCTGGACAATATGATCATCGGTGGGTGTATATATACAGTGGGGAAAAAAAGTATTTAGTCAGCCACCAATTGTGCAAGTTCTCCCACTTAAAAAGATGAGAGAGGCCTGTAATTTTCATCATAGGTACACGTCAACTATGACAGACAAATTGAGGAAAAAAAATCCAATAAAATCACATTGTAGGATTTTTAATGAATTTATTTGCAAATGATGGTGGAAAATAAGTATTTGGTCACCTACAAACAAGCAAGATTTCTGGCTCTCACAGACCTGTAACTTCTTCTTTAAGAGGCTCCTCTGTCCTCCACTCGTTACCTGTATTAATGGCACCTGTTTGAACTTGTTATCAGTATAAAAGACACCTGTCCACAACCTCAAACAGTCACACTCCAAACTCCACTATGGCCAAGACCAAAGAGCTGTCAAAGGACACCAGAAACAAAATTGTAGACCTGCACCAGGCTGGGAAGACTGAATCTGCAATAGGTAAGCAGCTTGGTTTGAAGAAATCAACTGTGGGAGCAATTATTAGGAAATGGAAGACATACAAGACCACTGATAATCTCCCTCGATCTGGGGCTCCACGCAAGATCTCACACCGTGGGGTCAAAATGATCACAAGAACGGTGAGCAAAAATCCCAGAACCACATGGGGGGACCTAGTGAATGACCTGCAGAGAGCTGGGACCAAAGTAACAAAGCCTACCATCAGTAACACACTACGCCGCCAGGGACTCAAATCCTGCAGTGCCAGACGTGTCCCCCTGCTTAAGCCAGTACATGTCCAGGCCCATCTGAAGTTTGCTAGAGTGCATTTGGATGATCCAGAAGAGGATTGGGAGAATGTCATATGGTCAGATGAAACCAAAATATAACTTTTTGGTAAAAACTCAACTCGTCGTGTTTGGAGGACAAAGAATGCTGAGTTGCATCCAAAGAACACCATACCTACTGTGAAGCATGGGGGTGGAAACATCATGCTTTGGGGCTGTTTTTCTGCAAAGGGACCAGGACGACTGATCCGTGTAAAGGAAAGAATGAATGGGGCCATGTATCATGAGATTTTGAGTGAAAACCTCCTTCCATCAGCAAGGGCATTGAAGATGAAACGTGGCTGGGTCTTTCAGCATGACAATGATCCCAAACACACCACCCGGGCAACAAAGGAGTGGCTTCGTAAGAAGCATTTCAAGGTCCTGGAGTGGCCTAGCCAGTCTCCAGATCTCAACCCCATAGAAAATCTTTGGAGGGAGTTGAAAGTCTGTGTTGCCCAGCGACAGCCCCAAAACATCAGTGCTCTAGAGGAGATCTGCATGGAGGAATGGGCCAGAATACCAGCAACAGTGTGTGAAAACCTTGTGAAGACTTACAGAAAACGTTTGACCTGTGTCATTGCCAACAAAGGGTATATAACAAAGTATTGAGAAACTTTTGTTATTGACCAAATTCTTATTTTCCACCATAATTTGCAAATAAATTCATTAAAAATCCTACAATGTGATTTTCTGGATTTTTTTCCCTCATTTTGTCTGTCATAGTTGACGTGTACCTATGATGAAAATTACAGGCCTCTCTCATCTTTTTAAGTGGGAGAACTTGCACAATTGGTGGCTGACTAAATACTTTTTTGCCCCACTGTATATACACTGTACCAGTCAAAAGTTTGGACACACCTACCCATTCCAGGGTTTTTCTTTATTTTTACTATTTTCTACATGGTAGAATAATAGTGAAGACATCAAAACTATGAAATAACACATATGGAATCATGTAGTAACCACAAAAGTGTTAAACAAATACAAATATATTTTATATTTGAGACTCTTCAAATAGCCACCCTTTTTCATTGATGACAGCTTTGCACACTCTTGGCATTCTCTCAACCAGCTTCACCTGGAATGCTTTTCCAACAGTCTTGAAGGAGTTCCCACATATGCTGAGCACTTGCTGGCTGCTTTTCCTTCACTCTGCAGTCTGACTCATCCCATACCATCTCAATTGGGTTGAGGTCAGGGGATTGTGGAGAACAGGTCATCTGATGCAGCACTGCATCACTCTCCTTCTTGGTAAAATAGCCCTTACACAGCCTGGAGGTGTGTTGGGTCATTGTCCTGTTGAAAAACAAATGATAGTCCCACTAAGCCCAAACCAGATGGGATGGCGTATCGCTGCAGAATGCTGTGGTTAAGTGTGCCTTGAATTCTAAATAAATCACAGACAGTGTCACCAGCAAAGCACCCCCACACCATAACACCTCCTCCTCCATGCTTTACAGTGGGAACTACACATGTGGAGATCATCCGTTCTTTGCAGCAATTCGACCATGAAGGTCTGATTCACACAATCCCCTCTGAACAGTTGATGTTGAGATGTGTCTGTTACTTGAACTCTGTGAAGCATTTATTTGGGCTGCAATTTCTGAGGCTGGTAACTCTAATGAACTTATCCTCTGCAGCAGAGGTAACTCTGGGTCTTCCATTCCTGTGACGGTCCTCATGAGAGCCAGTTTCATCATAGAGAGCCAGTTTCACCAAATAGGGCTATCTTCTGTATACCCCACCCCCTACCTTGTCATAACACAACTGATTGGCTCAAATGCATTAAGAAGTTTAAGAAATTCCATAAATTAACTTTTAAGAAGGCACACCTGTTAATTTAAGTGCATTCCAGGTGACTACCTCATGAAGCTGGTTGAGAGAATGCCAAGAGTGTGCAAAGCTGTCATCAAGGCAAAGGGTGGCTATTTGAAGAATCGCAAATATAAAATATATTCCAATTTGTTTAACGCTTTTTTGGTTACTACATGCTTCCAAAAGTGTTATTTCATAGTTTAGATGTCTTCACTATTATTCTACAACGTAGAAAATAGTCAAAATAAAGAAAAACCCTTGAATGAGTAGGTGTGTCCAAACTAGTAGTGTATACATACACAAACACAGTACAAAAATATAAACGCAACATGCAACAATTTCAAAGATTTTACTGGGTTACAGATCATATTCATAGAAGGAAATCAGTTAATTGAATGAAATTCATTAGGCCCTTATCTATGGATTTCACATGACTGGGCAGGGGTGCATCCATGGGTGGGCCTGGGGGGGCATAGGCCCACCCACTTGGCAGCCAGGCCCACCCACTGAGGGGCCAGGCCCAGCCAATCAGAATACGTTTTTCTCCACAAAAGGGCTTTATTACAAACAGAAATACCTCTCAGCACCCCCCACCCCCCGCCAAATTCTCTAAAATGACGTTGAGGTGGCTTAAGGTAGAGAAATGAACATTCAATTTTCTGGCAACAGCTCTGGTGGACATTCCTGCAGTCAGCATGCCAATTCCACGCTGCCTCTAAACTTGAGTCATCTGTGGCATTGTGTTGTGTGACAAAACTGCACATTTTAGAGTGGCCTTTTATTGTCCCCTGCACAAGGTGCACTTGTGTAATGATCATGCTGTTTAATCACCTTCTTGATATGCTGCACCTGATGGATTATCTTGGCAAAGGAGAAATGCTCACTAAAAGGGATGTAAACACATTTTTTGTGTGTATATGGAACGTTTCTGGGATTTTTTTTTCAGCTCATGAAACATGGGACCAACACTTTACATGTTGCGTTTATATTTTTGTTTAGTGTATATACACACACACACGTGTGTGTGTGTGTCTCTGTGTGTCTTTACCTCTGTCAGGAGAGTGTAGGAGTGTGGCAGAGGAGTAGGACAGTCTCTTGGTTATCACTGGATCAGCTGCATGTTTGGAAAGGTTCATGGTCGACACAGACCGTCTGTCAGCATCTACAGACACACACAGACAGACTTCAGATAACACACTGACAGAGAGCTGATAGAGAAGGGGGGGGGAGCTGAGAGAGAGAGCTGATAGAGAGAGAAGGCGAGAGGGAGAGCTGAGAGAGAGAGGGAGGGAGAGCTGAGAGAGAGAGGGGGGCTGAGAGAGAGAGGGGGGGAGAGAGCTGAGAGAGAGAGGGGGGAGCTGAGAGAGAGAGGGGGGGGGGCTGAGAGAGAGAGGGGGGGAGCTGAGAGAGAGAGGGGGGGGGGCTGAGAGAGAGAGGGGGGGAGCTGAGAGAGAGGGGGGAGCTGAGAGAGGGGGGGGGGCTGAGAGAGAGAGGGGGGAGCTGAGAGAGAGAGGGGGGGGGCTGAGAGAGAGAAGGCGAGAGGGAGAGCTGAGAGAGAGAGGGAGGGAGAGCTGAGAGGGGGGGAGAGAGCTGAGAGAGAGTTGATTGAGAGAAGGGGGAGATTGAGAGAGCTGATAGAGAACGGGGGAGAGGGAGGGAGAGAAAGCATATGAGACATGGAGAGAAGAGGGAGAGCTAGAGAGAAGAGGGAGAGCTAGAGAGAAGAGGGAGAGCTAGAGAGAAGAGGGAGAGATGGAGAGAAGAGGGAGAGATGGAGAGAAGAGGGAGAGCTAGAGAGCTGTATCCAACCAGCACTATCTCTAAAAGGTGCTACTGCTCTATTCTATCATAAAACCAGGTTTGTTAAACTGCTGGAACTCCCAGCATTATGCTGCTAGCATCAGGGGGCTAGCTCAGGGCACCCCCTCCTAGTGATGGTAGCTAGCATCAGGGGGCTAGCTCAGGGCACCCAAACCTAGTGATGGTAGCTAGCATCAGGGGGCTAGCTCAGGGCACCCAAACCTAGTGATGGTAGCTAGCATCAGGGGGCTAGCTCAGGGCACCCAAACCTAGTGATGGTAGCTAGCATCAGGGGGCTAGCTCAGGGCACCCAAAACCTAGTGATGGTAGCTAGCATCAGGGGGGCTAGCTCAGGGCACCCAAACCTAGTGATGGTAGCTAGCATCAGGGGGCTAGCTCAGGGCACCCAAAACCTAGTGATGGTAGCTAGCATCAGGGGGCTAGCTCAGGGCACCCAAACCTAGTGATGGTTAGCTAGCATCAGGGGGCTAGCTCAGGGCACCCAAACCTAGTGATGGTAGCTAGCATCAGGGGGCTAGCTCAGGGCACCCAAACCTAGTGATGGTTTAGCTACTAGCATCAGGGGGCTAGCTCAGGGCACCCAAACCTAGTGATGGTAGCTAGCATCAGGGGGCTAGCTCAGGGCACCCAAACCTAGTGATGGTAGCTAGCATCAGGGGGCTAGCTCAGGGCACCCAAACCTAGTGATGGTAGCTAGCATCAGGGGGCTAGCTCAGGGCACCCAAACCTAGTGATGGTAGCTAGCATCAGGGGGCTAGCTCAGGGCACCCAAACCTAGTGATGGTAGCTAGCATCAGGGGGCTAGCTCAGGGCACCCAAACCTAGTGATGGTAGCTAGCATCAGGGGGCTAGCTCAGGGCACCCAAACCTAGTGATGGTAGCTAGCATCAGGGGGGCTAGCTCAGGGCACCAAACCTAGTGATGGTAGCTAGCATCAGGGGGCTAGCTCAGGGCACCCAAACCTAGTGATGGTAGCTAGCATCAGGGGGCTAGCTCAGGGCACCCAAACCTAGTGATGGTAGCTAGCATCAGGGGGGCTAGCTCAGGGCACCCAACGCCTAGTGATGGTAGCTAGCATCAGGGGGCTAGCTCAGGGCACCCAAACCTAGTGATGGTAGCTAGCATCAGGGGGCTAGCTCAGGGCACCCAAACCTAGTGATGGTAGCTAGATCAGGGGGCTAGCTCAGGGCACCCAAACCTAGTGATGGTAGCTAGCATCAGGGGGCTAGCTCAGGGCACCCAAACCTAGTGATGGTAGCTAGCATCAGGGGGCTAGCTCAGGGCACCCAAACCTAGTGATGGTAGCTAGCATCAGGGGGCTAGCTCAGGGCACCCAAACCTAGTGATGGTAGCTAGCATCAGGGGGGCTAGCTCAGGGCACCCAAACCTAGTGATGGTAGCTAGCATCAGGGGGCTAGCTCAGGGCACCCAAACCTAGTGATGGTAGCTAGCATCAGGGGGCTAGCTCAGGGCACCCAAACCTAGTGATGGTAGCTAGCATCAGGGGGCTAGCTCAGGGCACCCAAACCTAGTGATGGTAGCTAGCATCAGGGGGCTAGCTCAGGGCACCCAAACCTAGTGATGGTAGCTAGCATCAGGGGGCTAGCTCAGGGCACCCAAACCTAGTGATGGTAGCTAGCATCAGGGGGCTAGCTCAGGGCACCCAAACCTAGTGATGGTAGCTAGCATCAGGGGGCTAGCTCAGGGCACCCAAACCTAGTGATGGTAGCTAGCATTAGTCATTTCCGGCATTGTTTAGCAGTGTTGTAGTACTAGGTCTAGGACTCTGACTCAAGTCCCGATTTTCATGACTTCAACTTGGACTTGACCATTGGTGACTTGGACTGGCCTTCTGGTGACTTGGACTGGCCTTCTCGTGACTTGGACTGGCCTTCTCGGGACTAGTATCGGCTACTATGATCAGCAGAATATTAGCAGCACTGAGAGCACAGAGCAGCGAGGGTTCTGTTCTCTAGCAGTGGGAAGGATGCGCCACATCCTACATTTACATTTACGTCATTTAGCAGACGCTCTTATCCAGAGCGACTTACAAATTGGTGCATTCACCCTATAGCCAGTGGGATAACCACTTTACAATATGTTTTTTTTTTTAGGGGGGGGGGGGGGGGGGGGGGGTAGAAGGATTACTTTATCCTATCCCAGGTATTCCTTAAAGAGGTAGTGTACAACCTACAGTGTACAACCTACATCCTACAGTAGTATACATCCTACAGTAGTGTACAACCTACATCCTACAGTAGTGTACATCCTACATCCTACATCCTACAGTAGTGTACATCCTACATCCTACAGTAGTATACATCCTACATCCTACAGTAGTGTACATCCTACATCCTACATCCTACAGTAGTGTACATCCTACATCCTACATCCTACAGTAGTATACATCCTACATCCTACAGTAGTGTACATCCTACATCCTACAGTAGTGTACATCCTACATCCTACATCCTACAGTAGTATACATCCTACAGTAGTGTACATCCTACATCCTACAGTAGTGTACATCCTACATCCTACATTAGTATAAATCCTACATCCTACAGTAGTATACATCCTACAGTAGTGTACATCCTACATCCTACAGTAGTGTACATCCTACATCCTACATTAGTATAAATCCTACATCCTACAGTAGTATACATCCTACAGTAGTGTACATCCTACATCCTACAGTAGTGTACATCCTACATCCTACAGTAGTATACATTCTACATCCTACAGTAGTGTACATCCTACATCCTACAGTAGTATACATCCTACAGTAGTGTACAACCTACATCCTACAATAGTATACATCCTACATCCTACAGTACTATCTACATCCTACGTAGTATCCTACATCCTACAGTAGTGTACATCCTACAAACCTAACAGTAGTTACATCCTACACCAACAGCCTACAGTGATACATCCTACATCCTACAGTAGTGTACATCCTACATCCTACAGTAGTATACATCCTACACTACATCATACAGTAGTATACATCCTACATCCTACATCATTATACATCCTACATCATACAGTAGTATACATCCTACAGTGTGTACATCCACATCCTACAGTAGTGTACATCCTACATCCTACATCCAGTAGGTACATCTACATCCTACATCCTACAGTAGTATACATCCTACATTTCAGTAGTGTACATCCTACATCTAGAGTGTAATCCTACAGTTGTATACATCCTACATCAGAATACATCCTACAGTAGGGTACATCCTACATCCTACATCAGAATACATGCTACAGTAGTATACATAAAAAATCCTACAGTAGTGTACATCCTACAGTAGTGTACATCCTACAGTAGTGTTTCATCCTACAAACCAGTGGTACATACATCCTACAGTAGTGTACATCCTAAATCCTACAGTAGTGAATCCTACATCTACAGTAGTATACATCCTAAAATCCTACAGTAGTGTACATCCTACATCCTACAGTAGTTACATCATCTACAGTAGTGTACATCCTACAGTAGTATACATCCTACATCCTACAGTAGTGTACATCCTACATCTAGAGTAGTGTACATCCTACATCCTACAGTAGTGTACATCCTACATCCTACAGTAGTGTACATCCTACAGTAGTGTACATCCTACATCCTACAGTAGTGTACATCCTACATCCTACAGTTAAATGTACATCCTACATAGTAGTAAACCTACATCCTACAGTAGTGTACAATCCTACAGTAGTTACATCCTAATCTAGAGTAGTATACATCCTACATCCTACAGTAGTATACATCCTACATCTACAGTAGATACCTCATACATCCTACAGAGTTACATCCTACATCTACAGATTTCTCTACATCCTACCCTACAAAACATCACTACAGTTTGTATACATCCTACAGTAGTGTACATCCTACATCCTACAGTAGTATACATCCTACATCCTACAGTAGTATACATCCTACATCCTACAGTAGTATACATCCTACATCCTACAGTAGTATACATCCTACATCATACAGTAGTATACATCCTACATCCTACATCCTACAGTAGTATACATCCTACATCATACAGTAGTATACATCCTACATCCTACATCATACAGTAGTATACATCCTACATCATACAGTTGTATACATCCTACAGTAGTGTACAACTTACATCCTACAGTAGTGTACATCCTATACATCATACAGTAGTATACATCCTACATCCTACAGTAGTGTATACATCTACATAGTATACATCCTACAGTAGTATACATCCTACATCATACAAGTAGTATTACATCTACAGTATCCTACATCCTACAGTAGTGTACATCCTACATACTAAGTGTATACATCCTACATTTTCCTACATCCCTACAGTAGTAACATCCTACATCATTTCAGTGAACATCCTACAGTAGTGTACACATACAGTAGTGTACATCCTACAGTAGTCTACATCCTACAGTAGTGTACATCCTACATCCTACAGTAGTGTACATCCTACATCATACAGTAGTATACATCCTACAGTAGTGTACATCCTACATCATACAGTAGTGTATATCCTACATCATACAGTAGTATACATCCTACAGTAGTGTACATCCTACATACTAGAGTTGTATACATCCTACAGTTGTATACATCCTACATCAGAATACATCCTACAGTAGGGTACATCCTCACATATTACATCCTAATCAGTGTAATACAGCTACAGTAGTATTACATAATAACCCAATCCTACAGTAGTATTACATCCTACAAATAGTACATCCTACAGTAATTACATCTACAGTAGTGTACATCCTACAGTAGTATACATCCTAAATTTTACAGTAGTTACATCCTACAGTAGTATACATCCTACATTACAGTAGTATCATCCTACATTCCCACAGTAGTGTACATCCTACAGTAGTGTACACATCTACAGTAGTATACATCCTACAGTAGTGTACATCCTACATCTACAGTAGTGTACATCCTACATACTACTTCCTACAGTAGTATACATCATACAGTAGTATACATCATACAGTAGTGTACATCCTACAGTAGTATACATCCTACATTCTACAGTAGTGTACATCCTAGAGTAGTGTACATCTACATCAAAGTATATACATCCTTTACAGTAGTTATTACTCAAGCGATTCTACAGTAGTATAATCCTACATTTAAGTGTACATCTACAGCAATTTAATTATACATAATATTACATCCTACAGAGTTTATCCACGACATTCTACAGTGTATCATCCTACATAGTATACATCCTACATTTACAGTAGTATTCACCCACAGGTTAGGTATCTTTACAGTAGGGATACAGTCCACAGTAGGTCATTACAGTTTAAACCTAACATGTCTACAGTAGTGTACATCCTACAGTAGTATACATCCTACATCTACAGTAGTATACATCCTACTATTCTACAGTAGTATACATCCTACAGTCAGTGTTATACTTCTACAGTAGTATACATCCTTTCATCAGTATACATCCTACATCATTAATAATTCTACAGTAGTGTACATCCTACATCAGTATACATCCGACATCCTACAGTAGTATACATCCTACATTCTACAGTAGTATTCATCCTACGGTAGTGTACATTCTACAGTAGTATACATCCTACATTCTACAGTAGTATACATCATACATATAATCTACAGTAGGTAATCCTAATAGTATACATCAATCTACATTAGTACTAATCCAACACTTTACAGTAGGTTCATTACGATGTAATTTAGTGTATCAGTGTCCACGGGGATCGTAACACACTACTTGGCCGTTATAATCCTACGTAGTATACACCTAATCTACAGTAGTATCATCTACAGTGTAAAATCTACATTCTACAGTAGTATTCATCCTACAGTAGTGTACATTCCTACAGTAGTATACATCCTTTCATCCTACATTGTAGTATTCATCCTATATTCTACAGTAGTTCATCTACATAGTATATATCCTACATTCTACAAGTAGTATACATTATATTCTACAGTAGTTACATCTACATCAGTATATATCCTACATTTACAGTAGTATTCATCCTACAGTAGTGATATTCTACAGTAGTATTCATCCTACGGGAGGTATTTCATCTACATCTACAGGTGTATATCTACGTAGTTTCATCCTACAGTGTTTATATTCTACAGTAGTATCATCCTACAGTAGGTATATTCTACAGTAGGTACATCCTACATAGTGTATATCTACAGTAGTATTCATCCTACAGTAGTGTATATTCTACAGTAGTATTCATCCTACAGTAGTGTATATTCTACAGTAGTATTCATCCTACAGTAGTGTATATTCTACAGTAGTATTCATCCTACGGTAGTGTATATTCTACAGTAGTATTCATCCTACATCCTAACGGAGAGCCTGACTTACTTACTGTAGTAAATAAGAAGCACAGGTATTGGATAGTGATGAATAGTAAATTAGTTGGTTTTTTCGTGATGAATAGTAAATTAGTTGGTTTTTTCGTGATGAATAGTAAATTAGTTGGTTTGTTTTCATGAGGGAGTGGAGCCATACTGCCATCTGCTGGTGACTAGAAACAATTGCATAATAAGACAAATTGATGGACTCGTGACTTGACTCTTGACTCGACCTTCAGCCTTAGGGACTCACGACTCGACTTTTAGCACAGGGGACTTGGGACTCCATTCGGACTCGAGGTTTAGTGACTCTACTACAACACTGTTGTTTAGCGCTAATGCTAATGATGAGGAAACTAGCTAATGTTCTCTACTGCTAACAAATGGTCATACATACACACATAACACACCAACATGCTAAGGCTAATTTATTATTATTTAGTTAATGCAAATTAAGCGGAACATTCACATTCAGTTCCACTAGCTACCAAGCTAATGCTAGCAGGCTAATGCTAGCTTGCTAATGCTAGGTAGCAGGCTAGAGCTAGCTGAGAGTGATATTCACATTGGTGGCTCAGGCCGTATCTGCGGTAGACACTGAATGCACCTTGGAGGTGGTGTTCCAGCCCTGCTAGGTCGAGGGGATAGAGGAAAGACGACTCGACAAAACCTGCAACAGGACAAAACAACCAGAGAGAGAGGGGGAGGGGGATTGAGAGAAGAGAGAGGGGGAAGTGGGGGGGAGGGCAGCGAGAGAGAGAGTTTTTGTGTGTGTGTGAATGTACAGTGAGAGAGAGAGAGAGAGAGAGAGAGAGAGAGAGAGAGAGAGAGAGAGCCAGAGCAGGGTATGAGTCAGCATAAACACCAGCCAACAGAAAGGCTGAACATACAATGTAGACTCAACTTAATAAAACACATTCACCGGCAGACAAAGAGGCACACTCTCCAGCAACAGAAAGATGAAGACTAAAATCAGAGCAGAAACCTGGTTATGGGACTTTTACAACCTATTAAAGAGGGAGTTTGAAAGTGAACAATGGAATTGAATGACTGTTGAAATGTATTCCACCCCCGATTTATTTGAATGTTAATAATAATGTTGATATGTATTCCACCCCTGATATATTTGAATGTTAATAATAATGTTGATATGTATTCCACCCCTGATATATTTGAATGTTAATAATAATGTTGATATGTATTCCACCCCCGATTTATTTGAATGTTAATAATAATGTTGATATGTATTCCACCCCCGATATATTTGAATGTTAATAATAATGTTGATATGTATTCCACCCCTGATACAGTGGGGGGAAAAAGTATTTAGTCAGCCACCAATTGTGCAAGTTCTCCCACTTAAAAAGATGAGAGAGGCCTGTAATTTTCATCATAGGTACACGTCAACTATGACAGACAAAATGAGAAAAAATATTCCAGAAAATCACATTGTAGGATTTTTATGAATTTATTTGCAAATTATGGTGGAAAATAAGTATTTGGTCAATATCAAAAGTTTCTCAATACTTTGTTATATACCCTTTGTTGGCAATGACACAGGTCAAATGTTTTCTGTAAGTCTTCACAAGGTTTTCACACACTGTTGCTGGTATTTTGGCCCATTCCTCCATGCAGATCTCCTCTAGAGCAGTGATGTTTTGGGGCTGTCGCTGGGCAACACGGACTTTCAACTCCCTCCAAAGATTTTCTATGGGGTTGAGATCTGGAGACTCCAGGACCTTGAAATGCTTCTTACGAAGCCACTCCTTCGTTGCCCGGGTGGTGTGTTTGGGATCATTGTCATGCTGAAAGACCCAGCCACGTTTCATCTTCAATGCCCTTGCTGATGGAAGGAGGTTTTCACTGAAAATCTCACGATACATGGCCCCATTCATTTTTCCTTTACACGGATCAGTCGTCCTGGTCCCTTTGCAGAAAAACAGCCCCAAAGTATGATGTTTTCACTCCCATGCTTCACAGTAGGTATGGTGTTCTTTGGATTCAACTCAGCATTCTTTGTCCTCCAAACACGACAAGTTGAGTTTTTACCAAAAAGTTATATTTTGGTTTCATCTGACCATATGACTTTCTCCCAATCCTCTTCTGGATGCACTCTAGCAAACTTCAGATGGGCCTGGACATGTACTGGCTTAAGCAGGGGGACACGTCTGGCACTGCAGGATTTGAGTCCCTGGCGGCGTAGTGTGTTACTGATGGTAGGCTTTGTTACTTTGGTCCCAGCTCTCTGCAGGTCATTCACTAGGTCCCCCTGTGTGGTTCTGGGATTTTTGCTCACCGTTCTTGTGATCATTTTGACCCCACGGGGTGAGATCTTGCTTGGAGCCCCAGATCGAGGGAGATTATCAGTGGTCTTGTATGTCTTCCATTTCCTAATAATTGCTCCCACAGTTGATTTCTTCCAACCAAGCTGCTTACCTATTGCAGATTCAGTCTTCCCAGCCTGGTGCAGGTCTACAATTTTGTTTCTGGTGTCCTTTGACAGCTCTTTGGTCTTGGCCATAGTGGAGTTTGGAGTGTGACTGTTTGAGGTTGTGGACAGGTGTCTTTTATACTGATAACAAATTCAAACAGGTGCCATTAATACAGGTAACGAGTGGAGGACAGAGGAGCCTCTTAAAGAAGAAGTTACTGGTCTGTGAGAGCCAGAAATCTTGCTTGTTTGTAGGTGACCAAATACTTATTTTCCACCATATTTTGCAAATAAATTCATTAAAAATCCTACAATGTGATTTTCTGGATTTTCTTTTCTCAATTTGTCTGTCATAGTTGACGTGTACCTATGATGAAAATTACAGGCCTCTCTCATCTTTTTAAGTGGGAGAACTTGCACAATTGGTGGCTGACTAAATACTTTTTTTCCCCACTGTATATTTGAATGTTAATAATAATGTTGAGATGTATTCCACCCCTGATATATTTGAATGTTAATAATAATGTTGATATGTATTCCACCCCTGATATATTTGAATGTTAATAATAATGTTGAGATGTATTCCACCCCGATATATTTGAATGTTAATAATAATGTTGATATGTATTCCACCCCGATATATTTGAATGTTAATAATAATGTTGATATGTATTCCACCCCTGATATATTTGAATGTTAATAATAATGTTGATATGTATTCCACCCCTGATATATTTGAATGTTAATAATAATGTTGATATGTATTCCACCCCCGATATATTTGAATGTTAATAATAATGTTGATATGTATTGTTACAGGTATATAGCCATGTGATGGGTTTACCCCCGGGTGTAGTGGGTGTGTTCCCAGGCAGGGCCCCGCCCCAGGACCAGCGGTTGGGTTTATGTCTGGCTCTCTGACTTCTCTCCACCGTCCGACGCATCACTGCCTCATGACGGGCCTACAGAACAACAACAACAAGTCAACAACCGCAATTTAACAAGCAGAACATGTCAACAACAACGTCAACAGTAAATGTGTGTCACGTTCACATAGTGTCCCTCTTTGTGAATGAGTTCCCCATTGCTACAATCACTTATCTACATTCAGGTATTCCAGCGATGTGTGTTGTTGCTGACCAACATAAAAACAACCAGATAGATAGAATAGATAGATAGAAGCTGCCACAACACTGGTGAAAGGTAAAACTCCAACAGATAAAGTGTGGAAGGTGAACACGCCCCCATTCTCATCGACGGGGCTGTAGTGGAGCGGGTCGAGAGTTCCATGTTCCTTGGTGTCCACATCACCAACAAACTATCATGGTCCAAACACACCAAGACAGTCATGAAGAGGGCATGACAACAGCTTCTCCCCCTCAGGAGACTGAAAAGATTTGGCATGGGTCCCCAGATCCTCAAAAGGTTCTACAGCTGCACCATCGAGAGCATCCTGACCGGTTGCATCACCGCCTGGTATGGCAACTGCTCGGCATCCGACCGTAAGGCACTACAGAAGGTAGTGCGTACGGCCCAGTACATCACTGGGGCCAAGCTTCCTGCCATCCAGGACCTACAGTGAGGGATCCCCTGCTGATTTTGTACGTTTGCCCACTGACAAAGAAATGATCAGTCTATAATTTTAATGGTAGGTTTATTTGAACAGTGAGAGAGATTAACCACAAAAAAATCCAGAAAAACACATGTCAAAAATGTTATAAATTGATTTGCATTTTAATGAGGGAAATAAGTATTTGACCCCCTCTCAATCAGAAAGATTTCTGGCTACCAGGTGTCTTTTATACAGGTAACAAACTGAGATTAGGAGCACACTCTTAAAGGGAGTGTTCCTAATCTCAGCTTGTTACCTGTATAAAAGACACCTGTCCACAGAAGCAATCAATCAATCAGATTCCAAACTCTCCACCATGGCCAAGACCAAAGAGCTCTCCAAGGATGTCAGGGACAAGATTGTAGACCTACACAAGGCTGGAATGGGCTACAAGACCATCGCCAAGCAGCTTGGTGAGAAGGTGACAACAGTTGGTGCGATTATTCGCAAATGAAAGAAACACAAAAGAACTGTCAATCTCCCTCGGCCTGGGGCTCCATGCAAGATCTCACCTCGTGGAGTTGCAATGATCATGAGAACGGTAAGGAATCAGCCCAGAACTACACGGGAGGATCTTGTCAATGATCTCAAGGCAGCTGGGACCATAGTCACCAAGAAAACAATTGGTAACACACTACGCCGTGAAGGACTGAAATCCGGAAGCGCCCGCAAGGTCCCCCTGCTCAAGAAAGCACATATACATGCCCGTCTGAAGTTTGCCAATGAACATCTGAATGATTCAGAGGAGAACTGGGTGAAAGTGTTGTGGTCAGATGAGACCAAAATCGAGCTCTTTGGCATCAACTCAACTCGCGTGTTTGGAGGAGGAGGAATGCTGCCTATGACCCCAAGAACACCATCCCCACCGTCAAACATGGAGGTGGAAACATTATGCTTTGGGGTTGTTTTTCTTCTAAGGGGACAGGACAACTTCACTGCATCAAAGGGACGATGGACGGGGCCATGTACCGTCAAATCTTGGGTGAGAACCTCCTTCCCTCAGCCAGGGCATTGAAAATGGGTCGTGGATGGGTATTCCAGCATGACAATGACCCAAAACACACGGCCAAGGCAACAAAGGAGTGGCTCAAGAAGAAGCACATTAAGGTCCTGGAGTGGCCTAGCCAGTCTCCAGACCTTAATCCCATAGAAAATCTGTGGAGGGAGCTGAAGGTTCGAGTTGCCAAACGTCCGCCTCGAAACCTTAATGACTTGGAGAAGATCTGCAAAGAGGAGTGGAACAAAATCCCTCCTGAGATGTGTGCAAACCTGGTGGCCAACTACAAGAAACGTCTGACCTCTGTGATTGCCAACAAGGGTTTTGCCACCAAGTACTAAGTCATGTTTTGCAGAGGGGTCAAATACGTATTTCATTAAAATGCAAATCAATTTATAACATTTTTGACATTAATCTTTCTGGATTTTTGTTGTTGTTATTCTGTCTCTCACTGTTCAAATAAACCTACCATTAAAATTATAGACTAATCATGTCTTTGTCAGTGGGCAAACGTACAAAATCAGCAGGGGATCAAATACTTTTTTCCCCTCACTTTTTTTTAAACTTTAGTTTATCAAGTCAATATTTTCTTAACTCTATTTTCTTAAAACTGCATTGTTGGTTAAGGGGCTTGTAAGTAAACATTTCACTGTAAGGTTCACTGTTGTATTCGGTGCATGTGACAAATAATATTTGATTTGAGAGAGTGTGTGTGTTCGTCCATGGGTAGTGTATGTATTCATCAGTGTGATGTGTGTACATAGTGTACAGTGTGTATAGTGTATATAGTGTATGTGTACATAATGTACAGTGTGTATAGTGTGGCGCAGTGGTCTAAGGCACTGCATCGCAGTGCTAGCTGTGCCACTAGAGATCCTGGTTCGAATCGTAGCCGACCGGGAGACCCATAGGGTGGCGCACAATTGGCCCAGCGTCGTCTAGGGTAGGGGAGGGAATGGCCGGCAGGGGATGTAGCTCAGTTGGTAGAGCATGGCGTTTGCGACGCCAGGGTTGTGGGTTCGATTCCCACAGGGGGTATGAAAAAAAATTAAAAATAATGTGTGCACTAACTGTAAGTCGCTCTGGATAAGAGCGTCTGCTAAATGACTAAAATGTAAAAATGTGTTCAGGGTTTATAGTGTATAGTATATATAGTGTGTACAGTGTGTATAGAGTATATAGTGTATAGTGTATATAGTATGTACAGTGTTTATAATATATATAGTGTATAGTGTGTACAGTGTGTATAGAGTATAGAGTGTATAGTATATATAGTGTGTACAGTGTGTATAGAGTATATAGTGTATAGTATATTTAGTGTGTACAGTGTGTATACAGTATATAGTGTATAGTATATATAGTGTGTACAGTGTATATAGTATAGTGTATAGTATATATAGTGTGTACAGTGTGTATAGAGTATATAGTGTATAGTATATATAGTGTGTATATAGTATATATAGTGTGTATAGAGTATATAGTGAATAGTATATATAGTGTGTACAGTGTGTATAGAGTATATCGTGTATAGTATATATAGTGTGTACAGTGTGTATAGAGTATATCGTGTATAGTATATATAGTGTATAGAGTGTATAGTATATATAGTGTGTACAGTGTGTATAGAGTATATTGTGTGTACAGTGTGTATAGAGTATATAGTGTATAGTATATATAGTGTGTACAGTGTGTATAGTGTATAGTATATATAGTGTGTACAGTGTGTATAGAGTATATAGTGTATAGTATATATAGTGTGTACAGTGTGTATAGAGTATATAGTGTATAGTATATATAGTGTGTACAGTGTGTATAGAGTATATAGTGTATAGTATATATAGTGTACAGTGTGTATAGAGTATATAGTGTATAGGATATATAGTGTGTATACAGTTGTGTATTTAGGAGTATATTAGTGTATAGTATATATAGTGTGTATAGTGTGTATAAGTCGATATGTATATAGTGTGTTATCGTGTGTATAGAGTATATAGTATATAGTCTATATCGTGTACATGTTGTATAGTGTATAGAATATATTAGTATATATAGGTGTACAGGTGTTATAGTGTATGATATATGTATATAGATATATAGTGTACAGTGTGTATAGAGTATATAGTGTATAGTATATATAGTGTGTACAGTGTGTATAGTGTATAGTATATAGTATATAGTATATATAGTATATATAGTGTGTATAGTATATAGTATATAGTATATATAGTATATATAGTATATAGTGTACAGTGTGCACCACACCTTCTCCTCCTCTAGGTTCTGTCTTCTCTTCTCCTCCACAGCGGATCGTCTCTTGTCCTCCTTCATCCTCTGTTCCTCCAGCTTCCTCCTCCTCTCCTCCAGGTGCTTCTCATAGTGCTGTCTGGCCCTCTCCTCTCTCTCCTGCCACGCAGACTCCCTCGCAGCTAACACACACACACACACACACACACACACACACACACACACACACACAGTAAGGTTTGGTATTGGGGTTCAGATGAATTCAGGATAGGACTTCAGCTCCGTTTTTTAAATCTTTGATCTGAACACACTGTCAGTGCTTTCTCTCTATCCCTCTCTCTCTCCCCCCTCTCTCCCCCCTCTATCCCCCCTCTCTCTCCCCCCTCTCTCCCCCCTCTCAACATGACTAAGGGAATGTGGCATGTTGTTATGGTGAAGCTCTGTTACATAAAAGCTTCACTGCCCCTGTTACCATGGTACCCAGTTGACATAAGGGGGGGTCAGGGGTGTGTGTGTGTGTGTGGGGGGCGGCGACGGCTGTGAGCTGGATGGTTTTGGGTGTGTGTGTGTGTGTGTGTGCCTAGCAGAGAGGGATTGTCTTTGTGTTGTTCAGGACTAAAGCCTAGTCACATGACCCAGAGCTGACCCATCAGAGAGCTGCTCCAGGCCTCTGGGTGTGTTAATACTCTCCCTACCTAACCCCTCCCCCCTACCTAACCCCTCCTCCACTAGCCTGTTCTCCCTACCTAACCCCTCCCCCTACCTAACCCCTCCCCCCTCCCCCCTAACCCCTCCCCCCTCCATAACCCCTCCCCCTCCCCCTACCTAACCCCTCCTCCACTAGCCTGTTCTCCCTACCTAACCCCTCCTCCCTACCTAACCCCTCCCCCTACCTAACCTCCCCTCTATAGAGGAATGGATTCCACAAGTTCTGGTACTATAACCAGATTATTACATTTAAAATGTGGGTAGGGCCTAGTGACAGGGCCTAGTGACAGGGCCTAGTGACAGGGCCTAGTGACAGGGCCTAGTGACAGGGCCTAGTGACAGGGCCTAGTGACAGGGCCTAGTGACAGGGCCTAGTGACAGGGCCTAGGAGTAGATGTGGAATTGGGCAGCTCTCAATCAAACCTCAGTTATCACTGTAGAGAACACCTAGACAGCTGGCTCAGGTCTTTTAAATACGTTACTCACATGATGCTGACAGCTGGCTCAGGTCTTTTAAATACTTTACTCACATGATGCTGACAGCTGGCTCAGGTCTTTTAAATACTTTACTCACATGATGCTGACAGCTGGCTCAGGTCTTTTAAATACTTTACTCACATGATGCTGACAGCTGGCTCAGGTCTTTTAAATACTTTACTCACATGATGCTGACAGCTGGCTCAAGAGCACAACACACACCAAAAGACTGTCACAACACACACACAGTTTGCAGGATACACACCGGTCTGTTTCTCCCTCTCCTCTCGACGCTCCCGAGCCAGTCTCTGTCGCTCGTCGATGTTGAGGACCAATGGCTCTGTAACATAAAACACAACGTTTAGAGAATGCAACTAACACACACACAAACACACAGGCGCACACACACAGGAAAAGAGAGCATTCCACTTTATTTTTTTTATTTTATTTTACCTTTACTTAACTAGGCAAGTCAGTTAACAGAGAGACTAAGCGAGAGAAACTAGAGAGAGTGAAAGGTTAGTTACCTGGTTTGTTAGCAGCATTGTTGCTGGGAGCAGGTGATAGTGTTAGGGTTGGGGTGGTGGACTGGGTCTGACTAGACTGGGTTGGGGTGGTGGACTGGGTCTGACCAGACCATCTCCTCTCCTCTGCTTTGGTCTGAGAGTCAGAGACTGGGGAGTGAAAGAAAGACAGTAGTCAATCACACAGACTCCAGACCCTGTCAGAGAGAGAATAGAGGACTGGTTGAGCATTGGAGGGAAGTGTTGTGTTGCTCAGCTGACTGGTTGAGTATCACTCCTCCTAACATGACAGCTCTCTCCTCCTCCTAACATGACAGCTCTCTCCTCCGACTAACATGACAGCTCTCTCCTCCGACTAACATTACAGCTCTCTCCTCCGACTAACATTACAGCTCTCTCCTCCTCCTAACCTGACAGCTCTCTCCTCCGACTAACATTACAGCTCTCTCCTCCGACTAACATTACAGCTCTCTCCTCCGACTAACATTACAGCTCTCTCCTCCGACTAACATTACAGCTCTCTCCTCCGACTAACATGACAGCTCTCTCCTCCTCCTAACATTACAGCTCTCTCCTCCGACTAACATGATAGCTCTCTCCTCCGACTAACATGACAGCTCTCTCCTCCGACTAACATGACAGCTCTCTCCTCCGACTAACATGACAGCTCTCTCCTCCGACTAACATGACAGCTCTCTCCTCCGACTAACATGATAGCTCTCTCCTCCGACTAACATGACAGCTCTCTACTCCGACTAACATGACAGCTCTCTCCTCCGACTAACATGACAGCTCTCTCCTCCTCCTGACAGCTCTCTCCTCCTCCTAACATGACAGCTCTCTCCTCCTCCTAACATGACAGCTCTCTCCTCCTCCTAACATTACAGCTCTGTCCTCCTCCTAACAGCTCTCTCCTCCTCCTGACATTCCAGCTCTCTCCTCCTCCTAATATGACAGCTCTCTCCTCCGACTAACATGACAGCTCTCTCCTCCGACTAACATGACAGCTCTCTCCTCCGACTAACATGACAGCTCTCTCCTCCGACTAACATGACAGCTCTCTCCTCCGACTAACATGACAGCTCTCTCCTCCTCCTAACAGCTCTCTCCTCCTCCTAACATGACAGCTCTCTCCTCCTCCTAACATTCCATCTCTCTCCTCCTCCTGACATTCCAGCTCCCTCTTCCTCCTGACATTCCAGCTCTCTCCTCCTCCTGACATTCCAGCTCTCTCCTCCTCCTGACATTCCAGCTCTCTCCTCCTCCTCCTCCTGACAGCTCTCTCCTCCTCCTCCTCCTGACAGCTCTCTCCTCCTCCTGACATTCCAGCTCTCCCCTCCTCCTGACATTCCAGCTCTCTCCTCCTCCTGACATTCCAGCTCTCTCCTCCTCCTCCTCTTGACAGCTCTCTCCTCTGACTAACATTACAGCTCTCTCCTCCGACTAACATGACAGCTCTCTCCTCCGACTAACATGACAGCTCTCTCCTGCGACTAACATGACAGCTCTCTCCTCCTCCTGACAGCTCTCTCCTCCTCCTAACATGACAGCTCTCTCCTCCTCCTAACATTACAGCTCTGTCCTCCTCCTAACATTACAGCTCTGTCCTCCTCCTAACAGCTCTCTCCTCCTCCTGACATTCCAGCTCTCTCCTCCTCCTAATATGACAGCTCTCTCCTCCAACTAACATGACAGCTCTCTCCTCCGACTAACATGACAGCTCTCTCCTCCTCCTAACATGACAGCTCTCTCCTCCTCCTCCTCCTGACAGCTCTCTCCTCTGACTAACATTACAGCTCTCTCCTCCGACTAACATGACAGCTCTCTCCTCCGACTAACATGACAGCTCTCTCCTCCGACTAACATGACAGCTCTCTCCTCCTCCTGACAGCTCTCTCCTCCTCCTAACATGACAGCTCTCTCCTCCTCCTAACATTACAGCTCTGTCCTCCTCCTAACATTACAGCTCTGTCCTCCTCCTAACAGCTCTCTCCTCCTCCTGACATTCCAGCTCTCTCCTCCTCCTAATATGACAGCTCTCTCCTCCAACTAACATGACAGCTCTCTCCTCCGACTAACATGACAGCTCTCTCCTCCGACTAACATGACAGCTCTCTCCTCCGACTAACATGACAGCTCTCTCCTCCGACTAACATGACAGCTCTCTCCTCCGACTAACATGACAGCTCTCTCCTCCGACTAACATGACAGCTCTCTCCTCCGACTAACAGCCCTCTCCTCCTCCTAACAGCTCTCTCCTCCGACTAACATGACAGCTCTCTCCTCCGACTAACATGACAGCTCTCTCCTCCGACTAACATGACAGCTCTCTCCTCCGACTAACATGACAGCTCTCTCCTCCGACTAACATGACAGCTCTCTCCTCCGACTAACATGACAGCTCTCTCCTCCGACTAACATGACAGCTCTCTCCTCCGACTAACATGACAGCTCTCTCCTCCGACTAACATGACAGCTCTCTCCTCCGACTAACATGACAGCTCTCTCCTCCGACTAACATGACAGCTCTCTCCTCCGACTAACATGACAGCTCTCTCATCCTCCTAACATGACAGCTCTCTCCTCCTCCTAACATTACAGCTCTCTCCTCCTCCTGACATTACATCTCTCTCCTCCTCCTAACAGCTCTCTCCTCCTCCTAACATTCCATCTCTCTCCTCCTCCTGACATTCCAGCTCCCTCTTCCTCCTGACATTCCAGCTCTCTCCTCCTCCTGACATTCCAGCTCTCCCCTCCTCCTGACATTCCAGCTCTCTCCTCCTCCTGACATTCCAGCTCTCTCCTCCTCCTCCTCCTGACAGCTCTCTCCTCCGACTAACATGACAGCTCTCTCCTCCTCCTGACATTCCAGCTCTCTCCTCCTCCTGACATTCCAGCTCTCTCCTCCTCCTCCTCCTGACAGCTCTCTCCTCCGACTAACATGACAGCTCTCTCCTCCGACTAACATGACAGCTCTCTCCTCCGACTAACATGACAGCTCTCTCCTCCGACTAACATGACAGCTCTCTCCTCCGACTAACATGACAGCTCTCTCCTCCTCCTAACATGACAGCTCTCTCCTCCTCCTAACATGACAGCTCTCTCCTCCTCCTGACAGCTCTCTCCTCCTCCTAACATTACAGCTCTGTCCTCCTCCTAACATGACAGCTCTCTCCTCCTCCTAACATGACAGCTCTCTCCTCCTCCTAACATTACAGCTCTCTCCTCCTCCTGACAGCTCTCTCCTCCTCCTGACAGCTCTCTCCTCCTCCTGACAGCTCTCTCCTCCTCCTAACAGCTCTCTCCTCCTCCTAACATGACAGCTCTCTCCTCCTCCTAACATTATAGCTCTGTCCTCCTCCTAACATTACAGCTCTGTCCTCCTCCTAACATGACAGCTCTCTCCTCCTCCTGACAGCTCTCTCCTCCGACTAACATGACAGCTCTCTCTTCCGACTAACATGACAGCTCTCTCCTCCGACTAACATGACAGCTCTCTCCTCCTCCTGACAGCTCTCTCCTCCTCCTGACAGCTCTCTCCTCCTCCTAACATTCCAGCTCTCTCCTCCTCCTAACATTCCAGCTCTCTCCTCCGACTAACATGACAGCTCTCTCCTCCTCCTGACATTCCAGCTCTCTCCTCCTCCTGACATTCCAGCTCTCTCCTCCTCCTCCTCCTGACAGCTCTCTCCTCCGACTAACATGACAGCTCTCCTCGACAAATGGCTCCTCGACTAACATGACAGCTCTCTCCTCCGACTAACATGACAGCTCTCTCCTCCGACTAACATGACAGCTCTCTCCTCCGACTAACATGACAGCTCTCTCCTCCGACTAACATGACAGCTCTCTCCTCCTCCTAACATGACAGCTCTCTCCTCCTCCTAACATGACAGCTCTCTCCTCCTCCTGACAGCTTTCTCCTCCTCCTAACATTACAGCTCTGTCCTCCTCCTAACATGACAGCTCTCTCCTCCTCCTAACATGACAGCTCTCTCCTCCTCCTAACATGACAGCTCTCTCCTCCTCCTAACATTACAGCTCTCTCCTCCTCCTAACATTACAGCTCTCTCCTCCTCCTGACAGCTCTCTCCTCCTCCTGACAGCTCTCTCCTCCTCCTGACAGCTCTCTCCTCCTCCTAACAGCTCTCTCCTCCTCCTAACATGACAGCTCTCTCCTCCTCCTAACATTATAGCTCTGTCCTCCTCCTAACATTACAGCTCTGTCCTCCTCCTAACATGACAGCTCTCTCCTCCTCCTGACAGCTCTCTCCTCCTCCTAACATTCCAGCTCTCTCCTCCGACTAACATGACAGCTCTCTCCTCCGACTAACATGACAGCTCTCTCTTCCGACTAACATGACAGCTCTCTCCTCCGACTAACATGACAGCTCTCTCCTCCTCCTGACAGCTCTCTCCTCCTCCTGACAGCTCTCTCCTCCTCCTAACATTCCAGCTCTCTCCTCCTCCTAACATTCCAGCTCTCTCCTCCGACTAACATGACAGCTCTCTCCTCCGACTAACATGACAGCTCTCTCCTCCGACTAACATGACAGCTCTCTCCTCCGACTAACATGACAGCTCTCTCCTCCGACTAACATGACAGCTCTCTCCTCCGACTAACATGACAGCTCTCTCCTCCGACTAACATGACAGCTCTCTCCTCCGACTAACATGACAGCTCTCTCCTCCGACTAACATTCCAGCTCTCTCTTCCTCCTGACATTCCAGCTCTCTCTTCCTCCTGACATTCCAGCTCTCTCTTCCTCCTGACATTCCAGCTCTCTCTTCCTCCTGACATTCCAGCTCTCTCTTCCTCCTGACATTCCAGCTCTCTCCTCCTCCTGACATTCCAGCTCTCTCTTCCTCCTGACATTCCAGCTCTCCCCTCCTCCTGACATTCCAGCTCTCTCCTCCTCCTGACATTCCAGCTCTCTCTTCCTCCTGACATTCCAGCTCTCTCCTCCTCCTGACATTCCATCTCTCTCCTCCTCCTCCTCCTGACAGCTCTCTCCTCCTCCTGACATTCCAGCTCTCTCTTCCTCCTGACATTCCAGCTCTCTCTTCCTCCTGACATTCCAGCTCTCCCCTCCTCCTGACAACGCTTTTAACCACTAGGCTACCTGCATCCTACCTTGCATGGTGCCACTTGGTTTAGAGCCCTGTACCTCCAGTCTGGCTACTGGCAAGTTGAGATGGATGAGAAGAGCAAAGAGAAGCCCACGAGATGGCATCATAGTCTACTCCCCCAACAAGCGGCAGCATGTGACTGACCTCAATGCTGTTTTCAGCAAACTCCATGATGCCAACTTGATATTGAACATGAAGAAATGCCATTTCCTGAAGGCCCAGCTGAAGTTCCTTGGATATCTTGTCTCAAGGAAAGGGGTGGAAATAAATCCAGAGGACCTACCAACTCTCCAGAGGTTCCTGGGGTTGGTATCACAAATGTATACCCCGCTTTGTTGACCTTGTCGCTCCATTGAACAACCTCAAGACGTAAGGAGTGAAGTGGGAATGGACAGAGAAATGACAGCAGAGTATGGACCAGCTAAAGATCGCCCTAGAAAAGCCCCCGGTTCTCTCACAACCTGACCTGTCTTTTAAGATATACACGGCCGCCAGCGATGTGGGTCTTGGCGCAGTCCTGACAGAGAAAACCAAATGGGGATGAGAGGGTCATAGCATATGCCTCCAGAGGTCTGAAAGGGGCAGAGCACAAGTACTCTACCTCAGAAAAGGAGTGTCTTGCGGTAGTATGGGCAGTTGAGAAGTGGCGCCATTATTTGGAAGGAGTTCCATTTGTGGTGTTTACTGATCACGCTCCACTATCTAATTCAAATTCCCCCAAGACTTCCTCGAGGCTGGACCAGATGGACAATAAGACTGCAACCGCTCCAGTTCCAAGTGGAAGTTTGCATGAAATGTCGTCGAAGACGCTCTCTCAAGGGCTGCAGAGCCTTCAGACAACCCAGTGAGGGATCCTTGTGCGGCTATCAAAACAAGCATCTTGTGCCTCTGATCTGCCGACATCCCTCGCAGAGATTGCGCGTGCTCAAAACAACAATGACTGTGTGAAGGAATTGAAAGCAAGAGGAGAGCCAGATGATGACCGGCCTGACAGGATTGGATGGGAAGTACAACAGGACGTTTTGTACAGGACTGTTCCTATCAAAGGAGAAGGAACAAAGTACCAACTGGTCATGCCTAAGCAACTTGTCAGCACCTTCCTTCGTTACTTCCACAACAGCTCCTTGGGGGCACACCTGAGAAGGCTGAAGAGCCTGTTGAAGATCCCGTAAGTGGCTTGGTGGCCGATTGTCAGGAGAGACGTCTGGCAACATGTCAACAAGTGCAGTAGCTGTCAGAAATACAAACCTGTTTGGTTTCCTGCAATCTACAGAGGTAGAGGAGGCAGGCCACATGGTGGGCACGGACTTTATGGAACCC